TATAAGTTTTAAACAAACAATTTAATATTGGTACACAGTGATGATGATTGTGAAGCTTGGTTGAGGTGGAGGAGATATATATATATATATATATATATATATATATATATAGTCTTTTGTCTGATGAAAAAAATTTCCCTGAAACCTAACCCCCTCATTTACATTAATTCTTATGGGGAAATTGAATTCGCTTAACATCGTTTCACTTAAAGTCGCATTTTTCAGGAACATAACTACAACGTTAATTGAGGAGTTACTGTACAGCAGTATTTGACATTCTTTGGGCCTCATATTGAACTTAGCAGAGCCAGAAGGAACTCTGAACTTTTCAATACAATTCTAAAATATAAGGCAGCTGCACTGACAGCCTGCAACATAGACAGTATGGTGGTACATTTTTTGTCATATATCAAAGAACTTCAGCACATTTACTGAGATTCAGGAAATGGTTCTTTTTAAATTAACTGTGAAATAGTATCTTTCTGGAGTTTATCTGGTTGTTTTTGTGTCTATAAAGAACGATACTAGCTAAATAAAGTTTAGATGCTCAAAAGAAAATAGGGTTAAAAAAACTCTTCATAGTCATGATGATAAAACAACTAGAACTTTTAGTTCAAAATATGCACAAATGTGAAACAAACCCAAATTAGTAATTTTGCAATGAATATCCTTACATGAAGACAACTTGGATTCAGTAAAGGACATGAAACCCCTTTAAGTAACACATCCTCCTTTATTCAATATGTTTTAGTAATAAATGGGGAAAAAGCCACCTTGGAAACCCCAACATTTGCTCAGAAACGGCAGCGCACTCTAGACATGCTGATTCGTTCTTTATACCAGGACCTCATGCCTGATCTACACAAGGTAAATCCAAGACTTGCGAGATCTTTATGCACTTCATATCACCCCCAGTGGCATATTGAGTGGCCTATTGCTCAAGAAGATATCCACCCTGGTGAGTATTGATTTGCATACAGTAAGTTGGATAGCAAAGGGGTGTTTTTCCTCTTTACATTTTAACTGCATGAAAATCAGCAATAAGTCATAAGAACAGCCATACTGGGTAGCTCACCTGCACAGTCAAGGCCTTCACATTTATTCTTCCTTCAATGATTGGCTGATATGAGAAACCTTGCTTCAGCAAGTCACTGAAGCAGTGAGAATGGTGCTTTATCTCTTCTCACTAGGACTTAAGACAAATTGAGATAAGTCAGCCCTTACTCTTAATCAGTAGAGGTCACAGGAGCACTTTTAGATGCAAGATCAGCAACAGATTGGACACCATGAGTCATCTTCTATTGGTGTCCAGACTCAAGCAAAGATATCAGTGAATGTCTGTCTTTAATCTCTTTGGTCATATGGCTACTTGCACTTATGTGACACCACATGTCAGACTGCATCTTTATCCTCTCCAAGTCTGGCTGAAGTTGATCTACCACCCAAGCAGACACAACATGACTCCACGAGTGCTTGTTCCTGGGAATGTCCTTTCATCAGTACTTGGTGGAACGATCCTCCGAATGGCTGTCCGGGAATGTTGTTTGTGTCTTCAGCTCCCACTGACACTTTAGTGAAAGATACACTACCTTCACACAGGCTGGAGAGCGTATCTGGGTCATCTGCAGACCCAAGGTTTTGGTCCCTAACTACATATAAACAGTCTAGAACTCAGTGTCATGTCCCACAGACCTCAAATCTGGGTCTGCGGGAACTGCTACGCTCCAACCCTCCAGTTGGCAGCCTGCTGAGAATTGCTTACTCAGGACTCATGAAGTCCAGCTCCAGTTCGAGACTGTACCCCTGAGGTTGTATTTGCAGAGTCCCAGAGCACCGATTGGCCCACTGACTTTACTTAAGCCATCAGCAAGAACAGGAAGCTATCCAAATAACTGGGATCCACCCTGCTCTGGACTGTGTGCCTTGTGCTTCCAGCTTGACTTCCTGGCATCCCAATCCCTCTTGACTCCTGGCATCTGGATTGCGGTTCTGATCTCAAGCTTGTCTCCTGCTTCTGATCTCCTGGTATCTTGACCCAGCTGACACTCAACTCCTGTTTTTTGACTGTGGACTCCAGCTCTGACCACCAGGTCTGGCTGCCCACCATCCAGCTGTGACACTCAGGGCCATTCATCTAGCTGTGATTCAGGACACCAGCACCCAAGTTTTGACACTACATTAACAGGCAAGGAAGAGCAAGATCATCTCTCCCCATGCCTACAGGAATTCTCCTACTGAAATCAATCTCATAGTCCGACACTCATGTGGGGTTCAAAACAATTTAGGTGACAACTCAGTAGAAAATGGTCCCTCGAGCTTTCAGTCCTTCAAATAAAAGTTCAGAAGTGGGATCATTCCTCCACATACCTGTTCATGACCACTTTAAACAGCACATTTTGATCCGGAGGAGAAATGAGTCTGCATGCTTTCCCCTGGTCACTCTAATTACTAGGGTCCTCAGGAATGTAATACTGGTCAGGGGTCAAGTTATCCTAACAGCCCCAGTGGGGCTGGGGGGAGGAGGTGAGTTTTAGTATTCAGAGATGGTACACTTATCAGTTCAAGTTACTGATCAGTCTGGACATCATAATGCAGAACCAAAGACTGGTTCTACACCCAGACTTAGTGTCTCTACAGCTAACAATTTGGATGTTATTAGGCTGATCTTGGAGCATAGACTTTCCGCTGCAGAGGTACAGGATCATAGAATTATAGAAGATTAGGGTTGGAAGAGACCTCAGGAGGTCATCTAGTCCAACCCCCTGCTCTAAGCAAGACCAACCTCAACTACCGGTAAATCATCCCAGCCAGGGCTTTGTCATTCTCATTCAGAGCTTAAAACCTTTAATAAGGTATACTTATGGGGCCCAGTGGAAACAGTTTTCAGTATGGGTGTGTCATTATAATTTTACCCATTGGAGGGGTCTGTACCTGTTATTGAGGTAATCTGTTATCATTAAAGTATTCAGATGTCTTGACTAGATCTAGTAAAGTTCACTTAGCACTGATAGCTGCCTATTATCCTTCAGTACAGGAACACGCACTTTTCCCCCATGATTTTATTCCTACTGTAACTAGTTTTTTGAAGGGGTTAACACATATTTTTCCATCTGTTAAGGATTTTTCCCTTCTCTGGGACCTAAACATAGTCTTCCTGATGCAGCCTCCATTTGAACATATGTCATCCTGTTCTTTGTATCATTTGTCTATTAACATGGCATTCTTGGTGGCTACTACCACTGCTCGCAGAATAGCAAAATCCAAACACCGATGGCAGGACCATCTTATACCACCTTTCGTGAGGATAGTTACTCTTTATCCTCATTCCAAATTTTTGCCTAAAATAGTGTCAGACTTTTTCGTTTAAATCAGTTCATTCACTTGTCAGTGTTCTTTCAAAGACCTCACTCATCCACTGCAAAGGCTAAACTTCATACTTCGGAAGCTTTTAAGCACAACCTTGAATTACTTCAATAGGACAAAATCATTTCCAAAAACCATCAAGACCATTTGTATCTTTTGGTAATAAGTCCAGAGGATATGCTATTTCAACATAGAGACTCTCAAAATGGGTGTCAGACAGCATTAGAATGTCTAAAGAACTGAGTGAGTTAACTCCTCTGTCTCATATCAAAGCACATTCTGCCTTACACCAGGCCCCTTATACTAGGCCTCAAGTCTCAGGCTCTCCCTTTCTACTGCATATGTCATCTTTCATATACTGGATAGCACCTTGATACATGTGAAGAGTATTGCAGCTACTCCACAATCTTGTAAATCAAAGGCTAAAGCATGCATTCTTAGATTCATCAGTAGGAACATTTTAAGGGAGGGCGGTTATTTTTTGTTAGTAATCTAAACTTGAACTGAGGTCACAGGAAAATGCTGAAAGAATACAGCAGAGTCGAGTAATGTCAGATGAAATTTTTAAAAAATTGAAAAAGTTTGGGTCAGTAAGACTCTCTCTCTCTCTCTCTCTTTTTTTTTTTTTAAGAACATGCTTAATAGGAGGTCGTTTAGTGATGTGTTACCAGAATCCCCTAGATCAGCACGGAAGAAAGAGGAGGCCCGTCAAGCAGAATTTGTCCGACTTGGTCAGGTAGGTTTTATGTAGAAAGTATTGGTCAAATTAATTACTCCACTGGGATGTGTGGAGTAAGATTAGGGATGTCTGGCCAAAAACAGGCTTGTGAGAGTCCAACTGGTTTTAGCTTATCTGAGGCAGAATGATATAAGCAAATCAAGGTGCTGACTGCATTTGCTGCTGTTAATTTAGTCATGGATCTCATTAAATATATTAGGAGCACTTTCAGGAACAAACCCATCAGCAGAAAGAGGGAGATGTAGTTAATCTGTATTGTGGTAATACAGCATTTAACACTTATCTGAAGTGTTCCCTTTATTTAGTAAAATTATATTATATTATATTATATTATATTATATTATATTATATTATATTATATTATATTATATTATGGGAAATATTTAGAAAAATGGTGATGGTAACTCAAAGCAAATGAGACCTTGATAATCACACAAAATTCTTGATTTTTATAGTGTAAAAATGTAGATTCAATTTACTGATTTTGTTTTAATTTTTTAAGTAAATTGACATACAATATAGTGAAGACGACAAATGTGTCGGAGAAAAACAGAGTTCTCACTCTCTTTGGTTGGGTGCAGCAAAGTCAGATACTGTATTCTCAAGCAATTGCATAGAGGGGGAGAGTGCACTAGGACACAGGGTTTCCCCCTCCTAGGCAGGTCTTTGTCTAGAGAAACAATTACAGCAAGCATTTATACCTTTTGTTACATACAATAATGAGCAACAGCTGCATTGTGTTTATACATAGGTCATCCTGATATCTTATTTTGCACATCTATTTAGACTCTAGTCTAAGGTCGCAACAACTTCTCACACAGTTCTTTCCCACTCGCCTCACACAATCCTCGCTTCTACAAATCTCGCGTTATTAGGGTTACAGCTAGCCTGACTCTTGCTCACAGAAAAGACTGTTTGCATTGAAATCCCCTTCAAATCCCTGTCAGTTCTTGCTCTACTTCTACAAGTGCTAGGGCAGAAAATTACACTAGCAATAAGTTAATTAACTAGGCAATAATATAAATGACGGAAGTACAGCTAAATAGGGAATTGAGCAGAATTACATTCACAGAAAGGATAATGATCAGAGGGTGAGTTATTAAGGAAGCTGATTTAAGTAAAAAAGAATAACAACTTTGAGATGCCACTGTGGATTTCTGAAGAAAGAATGAATCAAGGCATATGTGGAACTAGCAGGAAGCAAAGATTTAAATAAATCCAAAATATGACAGGCAGTCTTTTTTTGGTCTGGAAATAATTGGCTTACCTCCTTGGCTTCAGTTGAGGTTCAAAGTTCTCAATAGTGCAGCTGAGGTGGAGAAGTGCAAAGATGTATAGGTATGTATAGGTATTGTGAATTTGGGCATCTCTCAAAATAAATTAGCTACTTGCAATGCTTGCTAAGAATTAGTTTTCCTATCAGTCTTTAAAAGGAAGTTAAAAACATAAGAATAGCCATACTGGGTTAAACCAAAGGTCTATCTAGCTCAGTATCCTGTCTTCCAACAGTGGCCAATGCCAGGTACTCCAGAGGGAATGAACAGAACAGGTAATCATCAAGTGATCCATCCCCTGTCACCCATTCCCAGCTTCTGGCAAACAGAGGCTTGGGACACCATCCCTGCCCAACCTGGCTAATAGCTAGGGCCCTACTAAATTCACCGCCATGAAAAATGCGCCATGGACCGTGAAATCTGGTGTGTTTTTACCTTATACTATACAGATTTCACAGGGGAGACCAAAATTTCTCAAATTGGGGGTCGTGACCCAAAAAGGAGTTGTAAGGGGGTCACAGGGTTATTTGAGGGAGCTCCCAGTATCGCCACCCTTACTTCATCGCTGCCTTGAGAGTTATGTGGCTGGAGAGCGGCAGCTGTTGGCTTGGTACGCAGCTCTGAAGGGAGTGCCCTGCCAGCAGCAGCACAGAAGTAAGGGTGGCAATACCATACCATGCCACCCTTACTTTTGCACTGCTGCCTTCAGAGCTGGGCAGCCAGAGAGTGGTGGCTACTGACTGAGGGCCCAGCTCTGCAGGCAGCAGCGCAGAAGTAAGGGTGGCAATGCCATACCATGACATCCTTACTTCTGCGCTGCTGGTGGTGGTGACTCTGCCTTCAGAGCTGGGGTCCCAGCCAGCAGCTGCCACTCTCCAGCTGATCAGCTATGAAGGCAGCTCTGCCACCGGCAACGCAGAAGTAAGGGTAGAAGTACTGCAACCTACAATAACCTTGTGACCCGACCCACCCCCCTCCACACACACACACAACTCCTTTTTTTTGATTCAGGCTCCTACAGTTACAACACTATGAAATTTCAGATTTGAATAACTGAAATAATGAAATTTACAATTTTTAAAATCCTATGACCGTGAAATTGACCAAAATGGACAGTGAATTTGGTAGGGCACTACTAATAGCCATTGATGGACCTATCCTTATCTAGTTCTTTTTTTAACTCTGTTATAGTCTCGGCCTTCACAACATCCTCTGGCAAAGAGTTCCACAGACTGATTGTGCATGGTGTGAAAAAATATTTTTAATAATACTTTAAAAAATATTTAAACCTGCTGCCTATTCATTTCATTTGATGATTCCTAGTTCTTGGGTTATGAGAAAGGAGTAAATAACACTTTCTTATTTATTTTCTCCACACCGTATTCTCCCTTTGTCATCTCTTTTCCAAGCTGAAAAGTCTGTCTTATTAATCTCTCCCCATACGGAATCCATTCTATACCCCTAATCAACTTGTTGCCCTTTTCTGAATCTTTTCCAATTCCAATATATCTTTTTTTGAGATGGGGCAACCACATCTGTATGCAGTATTCAATATGTGGGCATACCATGGATTTATATAGAGGCAGTATGATATTTTCTGTCTTATTATCTATCCTTTTCTTAATGATTCCCAACATTGATTGCTTTTTTGACTGCTGCTGCACATTGAGTGGATGTTTTCAGAGAACTATCCACAATGACTCTGAGATCTTTCTTGAGTGGTAATAGCTAACTTAATCCCCATCAGTTTATATGTATAGTTGGGATCATGTTTTCCAATGTGCATTACTTTGCATTTATAAACATTGAATTTCATCTGCCATTTTGTTGCCCAGTCACCCAGTTTTGAGACATCCTTTTGTAGCTCTTCGCAGTCTGCCTGACACTTACCTATCTTGAGTAGTATTATATCATCTGCAAATTTTTCCACCTCACTGTTTACCCCTTTTTCCAGATCATTTATGAATATGTTGAATAGGACTGGTCCCAGTACAGACCCCTCAAGGACACCACTATTTACCTCCCTCCATTCTGAAAACTGACCATTTATTCCTACCCTTTGTTTCCTATCTTTTAACCAATTACCGATCCATGACAGAACTTTCCTTCTTATCCCATGACTGCTTACTTTGCTTAAGAGCCTTTGGTGAGGGACCTTGTCAAAGGCTTTCTGAAAATCTAAGTACGCTATATCCACTGGATCCCCCTTGTCCACATGCTTATTGACCCCTTCAAAAAATTCTAGTAGATTGGTTAGGCATGATTTCCCTCTACAAAAACCATGTTGACTCTTCCCCAACAAATTATGTTCATCTATGTGTCTGACAGTTTTGCTCTTTAGTAGAGTTTCAACCAGTTTGTCTGGTACTGAAGTCAGACTTACCGGCCTGTAATTGCCGGGGTCACGCCTGGAGCCCTTTTTAAAAATTGGCATCACATTAGCTATCCTCCTATCATTTGGTACAGAAGCTCATTTAGATGATAGGTTACAGATGACAGTTAGCAGTTCTGCAATTTCACATTTGAGTTCCTTCAGAACGCTTGGGTGAATACCATCTGGTTCTGATGACTTACTACTACTTTAGTTTATCAATTTGTTGCAAAACCTCCTCTAATGACACCTCAATCTGGGACAGTTCCTCAGATTTGTCACCTAAAAAGAATGGTTCAGGTTTGGGTATCTACCTCACATCCTCAGCCCTGAAGATTGATGCAAAGAATTAATGTAGTTTCTCTGCAATAGCCTTATCATCCTTAGTGGTCCTTTAGCATCTCGATAGTCCAGTGTCCTACTGATGGTTTAGCACGCTTCCTGCTTCTGATGTAGAAGTTATTCCATAAAGAGGAATTTGCGTTCTTCTTTGTGTGCATTATTCAATCACTGTTGGTTCCATTTGACTATACGGTACTGAAACACTGGATTTTGATCTGGTTGTGAAGCTCTTCTAATCATTGACAATATGGAAGGATAAACTAATTCAGATTCTCATTTGTCTTCTCACTGCTACTTTGTGCAACATTGGTATTGTGTTCTGTACTATGAGCGAAGTATTTTTCAAAATCAGCATGCTTCTGTCGACCTGCATCTTGAAAGGTTTGTAATGCTGTTCATGACAAATTTGGGTTATATCATTCCACAAGAATGTGCAAATAGTGTCACTTAATGTCTTGAAATGCACTTTTAAAAATGTGACATTAACTATATAGGGCCAGATTCTCAGCTGGTGTAAAGGGTGTAATTAGCTCATGGACTTAATTTGTGGGTGTGAGGACTTATTATTATTTAAGGTGTTCTCCATTAATATATTTGCTATGTTAAGTTTTGTTTTTGCCAACAGCAGATATATATTGTCTAAAACCATATAATTTTCCAGCATCTTATTGAACAGTTTAATCTCTGCTCAAAACACACGGAATAGCTGGTTTTCTTATAAAGAAATTATGTAATGTGGCACAGAAATTCAGAGCTGGATCTATTGTAATTATAGTCTGAAATTGCTTCCCTCCCTTCCCCAATAGTCAGTCTCCATATCTTTATAATTTATTTATCAATTTGGTGTTACCAATTAAGAACACACTTTAAATGAAATATCTGTCTTGTTTAAGGCACTGAAACTGAAAACCATTGTGAGAGGAGATGCCCTAACTAGTTCAGCAACCACAAGCCTCTATAAAAAGGAGGTGAGTGGACATTCATACATGATAATATGCAAAGTTTGCTCAAAATCTTGGCTTTCCAGGTTCTACTGAATATGGGACTACATTCCAAATCTTATAATGCATATATGTAATTTGATTCAGTAACAGAAGAGAAAACATTGACATATTGATCCATGTATCGGTGTATAATATCAAAATGGTTCTGCAGGAAAGGCCCAGTAGATGGATGGGTATGGAAACTATCTCTGAACTTAAAGCTGGTTTCAGCAATCCCACTTTTGTTTGGATGGAGTAGTAAATGAAAATGCCAGTTGATTTTTGTGTACATTTATGTGATACTTGTAACTTTTGCTTCATGCAAATAAAATTAAATTGCATTGTTGTTTGTAATAAAGGGCCAGATTTTTCCTGGCCATAGTGTGGCTGTGCAGGAGTGGAAAGTGCAAGGAGCACCTCTGTGCACTCTGCACACAGGCCAGGTGCAGAAGCAGCCCCTGTGCTTGGAGAAATGCAGGGACTGCACAGTCTATGCCCCAGGGACATACAGCATCCTGAAGAGCTTAGAGAGAAGGTGGTGCCATGGTCTGGCCCCTTTCTACACCAGCCCATGAAGCTGGTCAGGTAGAGAAAGCTGAGTCATTTAAAGTGCTGGTACAACATGTGCACTTCCTCTGCATAATTCCTGCTGGAGCTACTTGGAAGGGCAGTTTTGCACCACTACTAGCACATGCCAGTGCCTAAATGCCACAATCTGGACCATAGAGCATAAGGAAATTCCATATAAATGTTGGTAAACATACATTCTGGATCTGAACGTTATTTCTGAAGCAGAAACACAGAGGAGATATTTTCTAAGTGTTTCACTGGTTATCTGCTACAGGTCACACTCAGTAGAGTCAAGCTGCTGACCTCCCATACTTCTGGAAATTTACCCCAGATAGTTTATCTTGAAGTGAAAGAACATTCTGAATACCAAGTGCTGTCTCTTCCTGCACCTGCAAGATGTGACCTTTTCCCAAAAGGAGATTCAGTGCCCCAGTCTCACAAATGTAGCTTATATTTATTAACCTCCCAAACTAATTGAGAGAGGGAATTTTTGCCTCCCCCGGCAAACAGACCAAAGTCTGATATTTTTAACTCCAAAAGTGCAGCTTTGAGCATTCTGTCCTGAGTTACTTTTCAGCTATTGTACTTCAAATTTTCTCTGTTGATAAACTTTGTATTTCCTAGTGTATTTACCATACACTGCTTATGTCATTTTACAGCCATGGGAGTCCCAATGTTTCTGCAGTAATTTTCCTCATGAAGTTGTTTGTGCGGATTCTTGGGGCCAGTCCTTGCTAGTTTCTACAGATGTTGGTGTCCTGCTAATAGATGGTTAGTGAATGATCCAGCATTTGTCTACAGGTTAATATTTTTGTACCTGACAGTTTCAATCTGTGGTGCCTATGAGGATGTTAGCAGCTCTTCACTACTTAAGATAGTTAAAAGTCCACATCTATTACTATATATCCTTACTGTCAGGGGTTTTATAGCTTAACTGCAAAAATTTGCTCTGCACTAAAACTAGGCAAATCAGATCATCTTGGGGGCCCTGTTTTAATGCAGACTTCTGAATATTTTATTGGTTTCAGATGCTGTTTTCTTGACTGTCTGAGAGGACTTTTTATTAAGCCAAATCCAAGCTCAAGGGGTGTCCATGCAGCCTGCTTGTACTTCACAGCCCTTGATGCTTCCACTGAGCCTGAGGCCAAAGGTGGCTGTGTACCATTTATGTAGTCATCCAAGCCTGTTTCCTCCCTAGCACTGATTTTGTGACTCTAACGCCTCTTCCCTAGAATGCCATATATGGTAGTCATGATTTTGAGGAATGATATTGGGGGTAGTTGGTTCTCAGCAATTTTTCTCAAACTTTCCAAAAACTGTTCCTTTTAGGCTCTGTTTTTGCTATATGATTCACATTAGTGTAACTCCTTCTAAGAAGGAACTGCCATCTTGGTACTGTATATAAAGTGGCAGTATGCCAGATGCCTCATTTTCACAGAAAAATAACCACGTTTTTGTTACAAGAAACAAGATGCTTTAAAATCACTAGTCAGCAAATTGTAGTGTCAAAAATGTGTTCTAATTGGGGGTCATGTTTCCTTTCCAGATGGCCAGTCATCAGTGCAAGTATTTGATAAAACTCTCCAGGTGAAACAGATGCATGTGCTGGAAGCTTTGGACCTTTTGATTACTAGAGCAGACAAAGGTAGGATTCCTTACCTCTTGGTTCCAATATGAATGTGGCTGCACACTATTACTTTACTCGTAGCTCAGTAGAAGGTAACAGTTTATGCACTTGCCCTTTCAGAATGCTATTTCATTTTGTCAGTAATTCTCTTTTAAAAAGTTTTTTCCGTTTCTACTGTATTTATTCCCAGGTCTCTCACCTTCACCTGCCTTCTTACTTTCCTACCCAGATGAATTTCTTTCACTATTTCTGATCCAATGGTATGTGAACAAGTTTACTAGTCAGGACTGGTGGAAGACAATGTCCCAATAACTGATGTTATGAGACACTGGCATTACACTTACACATCACTTTGTTCCCACTTATCATTGGAGCTTCCAGCAGTATGAATATGCAACACCAGATCTATCATACAGCAGAAGCTGCTTTTCCTTTGATGGGGAAATCCTCTTAGTTTTAAGTAATTCCTGCTTGTTGCTGGTATTGTGACTTTTTGGACCAAATCCTGCTTACCTTATTCACGCAAGTAATCCTACTGACTTTAATGAGCAGGAGTCACCATCCTAGTTTACAAGCTGGAAGACTTATTAGAATTGCCCTCCATTCCAATTGTGATGGTCAGGAAACAAGTGAATTCAAGAGTTGAAATGTCTCGGTTTCTGTAGTTCTAATATCTGCCAAAATGCAAAGTTAAAATATTTTCTATAGAATTAAATAGATATTAAAGTGGGAACAAGTTCTTGGCAGTATCTTTTCTACAACTCATTTTGATTTAACTCAGCTATATCATGAAATTTATACATTTACTTATGTTCTGTCAATTATCAGAAGAAAGCCTGTAGTAACAGTGGCTTTTAATCTTGTGACAAAATTCTTACCATGCTCTTCACTCCATAATTAATAATAAATAAATATTAAGGGGATTTGATATAGACAGTGCAGACTGTTTCATGCTACAAGTGATTCTATGATTGTATTATACTATACCCTAATGAAAGAAATGTAAAGTTACCAATAGACACTACAGTTCAAAGGCATAAGAGAGCCACAGTTGCCTCTTTAGTATTGTATTTCCATATTGTGAAAGTACATAGAGAGGTGTAACACCAGCTAGGACTTAACAGAGGTAAATCTCTAGTGGTGCTCTGTCATATACATTTAGGAATATTAGAAGCATATCCCTTTGAATGAATTTCGAATGTTAATCTTACTTTGATATAACTTTAGGACATCATAAATTGATCTAGGTATTGTTCCAGGTTGCCCTGGTCTCTGTTATTGTGGACTTTATTTCAGTTAGCATTCTGCTCTGTTGAAAAAAAGAGTACTTGAGGACAAGAAGAAATCTTTATTTTTAAATTTATAGCTAGCAGTTGTCTTTGTTGCCATGAAAATGACACACACATCTTCCTGTTAAAGTAGCAGTACAGAAAAGTCTACTTAACACTAACCAACATTTGAAAAAATGTCAAGTATCAGAGGGGTAGCCGTGTTAGTCTGGATCTGTAAAAAGCAACAGAGGGTCCTGTGGCACCTTTTAGACTAACAGATGTATTGGAGCATAAGCTTTCTTGGGTGAATGCCCGCTTCATCAGACACATGCGTCACCCACGAAAGCTTATGCTCCAATACATCTGTTAGTCTTAAAGGTGCCACAGGACCCTCTGTTGCATTTGAAAAAATGTTAGTTTCTAGAGGATAGTTAATAGGGTGGGTATGACAGGAAGTAGTGAAGTGGAGACTGTGATTATAGGGGCTAAATAAAGTTTTTGGTTAGTTTTGTGGCATCATTGTTGTGAATAGTTAGTTGAATTTGGTGGTAGTGTGATGGTTGTATAGTATGAGATGCATAAGTAAAAGAATAAGCTGAGGAATGAGAGTAGAGCCATCAGGGTGGCAACAATGATTGTGTTGTTTGGTTAATTCTTGTAGGATTAGTCATTTTGGTATGAATCCTGTTAATGGGGGTAGGCCTGCTAGTGATATAAGAGTACTGTATATACTCGATCATAAGCTGGTTCGCTTATAAGCTGACCCTCCCTCCCCCCAAGATGGATAAGTAAATATGGAAATTTTTTATAACCCGTTCATAAGCTGACCCTATAATTCAGGGGTCAGCAAACTTTGGCTCCCGGGCCATCAGGATAAGCCGCTGGGGGGGCCAAGATGGTTTATTTACCTCGAGCATCCGCAGGCACGGAGCGAAACCTAAGTAAACAAAGTGTCCCGGCGCGCCAACTGCTTACCCTGACGGGCCGGGACAGCAACTGATGGGGAGAAACTGGGAGTCAGGGGAGTAACCCCTGTGACCACCCCCCACATAACCCCACCCTTGGCCTGGGACCCCCACACTCTCCCCATTCCATCCCTTCCCAACTTATCTGGAGAGGGCCAGGGGAGGATGTCTCTGACCTGACTGGAGCTGCTCTGGCAGGCTGGGCAGTGCGGCCGCAGCCTGCTCCGGCGGGCCAGACCGGGCGGAGCGGCCACAGCATGTTCCAGCAGGCTGGGCTGGGCGGCACGGCTGCAGCATGCTCCGGCGTGGCGCAGCCACAGCCTGCTCTGGGGGGAGGGGCCGAGCGGCACGGCTGCAGTCTGCCAGCCCTGGAGCTGCAGCTGCTTTGGAGGCTGGGGGGAGAGCTGCGTGGCCAGAAGCGGAGAGACTCTGGCCCCGCCTCTTCCCTTCTGTCTCTGCTGGCTGTGCTGCCTCTCCGTGCTCCCTCTGTTGGGGGGAGGGGCTGTGTCCCACCTCTCCCTCTCTATACACGTTCATAAGCCGACCCCCTTCTCTGGTGCTTCCCTTTTTTACTAAATAAATTCGGCTTATGAACGAGTATATATGGTAAATATTATCAGGGTCTTTACAGTTGGAAGTTTTGTTCATTATGTTATTATGGTGGATATTTTGTTTGTTTCTACAGGTTTAATTATTAAGAATATTGTTTAGGTTATGATAATGTATGTGTAGAATGTGAGTAATATAAGTTTAGTAGATAGAGTGAGGATTGTGGTTATTCATCCTAGGTGGGCAACGGAGGAAAATGCTATGATTTTTCGTAGTTGGGTTTGATTTAATCTGCCTCATCCGCCGACTAGGGTGGATGTTAGCCCTAGTGTTTAACAGGTGGGGTGTGCTTAGGGATTGGGCGGTTATTACTAGTAGGGATAATGGGCTAGTTTTTGTCAAGTGGTTAGGATTAGGGCTGTTCTTGTGATGGTTCCTTGTAGTACTACTGGTAGTCAGAAGTGGAATGGAGCTAGTCCTAGTTTGATAGCTAGGAATGTGGTGAGAATTGTGCATGAGATGTCGTTAGTTAGTTGTGTAATGTTTCATTGGCCTAGTGTTCAGGCATTAATAATGCTAGAGAATAGGATTAGTGTTGAAGTGGTTGCTTGTATTAAGTAGTACAGTAACTCCTTATTTAAAGTTGTCCCAGTTAATGTTGTTTCGTTGTTACGTTGCTGATCAATTAGGGAACATGCTTGTTTAAAGTTGTGTAATGCTCCCTTCTAACGTCGTTTGGCAGCCGCCTGCTTTATCTACTGCTTGCAGGAAGAGCAGACCCTTGCAGCTAGCTGGTGGGGGCTTGAAACCAGGGTGGACTGGCAACCCCCTATCAGCTCCCCACTCCCCTAAGTTCCCTGTGCAGCAGCTGCCTGCAGTTCAGCTGTGTCCCTCCGACCCCCCCCCCCACCCACTGTGCCTGCTCCTGCCC